CTTAAGTAATGGAGTGAGGAACAGCACTTCCTCTCCATCCTAGTTCAATTCCTTTAAGAGGCACAGCATGTCAAGTTTTTATTTTCAGTGCCTCAAATCTATCATAGAAAAAAAAAATAGAAGCTTTACCTACAAGCATCAGGCAAATTACAGTTTAAACATAGGTTGCTTGTTTGCCTGTTGCCACAGACCCAGTAAACACTCCCAAGCCTATTCAGTAATGAGGTGTTCCCATTTACACAAGACTTATTCTGATTCTGCACTAGTTATTCATGTCAGCAAAGGCTGAGGATTTTTTCCTAAAATTCCCAACATCTGCCTTTCTGTTGAAGAAGGGGGGTACCAGTGTTCAAGTACATCAAATGTCCTTCCAGATATACCCCAAAGGACTATGGTAGATGCAGCAACTGAGTTTACAGAGGATATTTACAAAACATAAGGCTTCAGAATCTAAACTGGGCAGGGGCAGGGAGGATGAAAGAGGAAGGATAGCAGAGAGGTCTCCAAGACAAAACACCAGTGTCAGTACAGAAAGGTTTGTTTGGGGCACAGCTTGGGCTATACTTCCTTTGTCTTGGATGCATCTTTCATTAAAGACAGCTAACACAGTACGGTAGGGAATCCCAATTTAATTTCAATTTCAAAATAAATTAAACTCCTTTTTCAGAATAGTCTTCTGTTCTCATCTTCTTTATTCATCACCCAAGATTATTAAACAAAATGTCTCTTCACCAAGAATGAATTGCAGGGGAAATAAAGCATAAGAATAATACTACTGCTTTTTATTTATACTGACGTATATATACCATATAATGTGATGGGAAACTGTTTCTGGTTTTCACACTACACCTGCAGCACTTAAGAAAACATGTCTTTCTTCTTGTTCTCAAACTGCTAATATAAAAATTGATTCTGGAATACGGAAACATGGATTACAGTTTCCCTCCTATAAGAAGCAACAGAGATGTGTTCACAAGCTCTACAAACAAAGCATCATCACAGGGTGCCTCTCCATCCTACCTTCTTTTTCTCTGCATGTTCTTTGTCCTCAGCTTCCCGCTGCCAAATACTTTTTGTATCAAACTCAAAAGGCCCTCTTCTTGTCTCATAACTCTTACCGTGATGGTCATCAGCCATAAACTGTCTGTGAACCATATAATCTGGTAGAGAGGAAACACAGCTCCTGCAGGCAAAGATTTAATGCTTGTTTGTACAAGGTATACAAATCCCGCACTTTAGTACAGAAGCATTCAGAAATGTTAATAGGCGAAGAGGGAGGCCAAGATGTGTTGGGCCTCAGCAATCTTACCGTGGCTCCTCAATCCCTGCAGGACTGGCACAGTGTGAGTACCAGTCAGGTGCAGCGTATGCTGCCAGAGGCGACTTCATTACCACAGGAGTGTAGTGCCTCAGTAGGTCTAGAAAGAAAAAGACAAAAGCCAGTACTTTTCTGACTTTTTATGTAGTTGCAAAAGCACTACCTTTGTTTTCAGATTGATGTTTTGTCAGGAAGAAATTAATCTCCTCATTTTTTCCACGAGTATATTTCAAAAGTCCAGAGGATCCTTCCGTAGCATCTATGAACACTTTACACTGCACTCAAGCAAAGCCAAAAAAACCAAAGGAAAAACAAAGAAGCAAGACAGATGCTCACCAGGTCGGCCTCCTTGCTTTGCCAGCCTCACATAGGCTGAATCAGTTTCTTTGATCCATTTCCTGTGGCACCCAGACAGTAGCACTTCATGGGGAGCTCTTGAAAGGTCACTGAGACCCAGAATCTGGGAGGGAAGTGGGCTCTTCTCTGGTTGTTTGAGTGGCATGGGGTATTGCTTCCTGCAATAATGGAAAAGAAAAATATTTATGGTAAAAGTTAACTGACAGCATCCCTTTTTCGGGCAACTTAACAAATTGAGCCCACCTGGAACATGAATGAGGTGCTACATTTCATCGTGAAGACAAAAGACAGACTTGCTCATTCTGGGGGATATAGCACAAGCAATTTCTGGAGAATCAGAAGCAAAACACTTTTGTTTCAGTTCTGAGACAACATTCAAGTTTCCCCATAAAGTGCTCTCATACAGAGGATCATGCCTCTTCATTCAGAAAACTATTTCCAAGGACACATCAAAATCAGTGAGAGGCACACGAGACAGCAGAAAACACTTCAGCCTTTGGTTTCCTTTCCTTCACATGTGCTAACTAAAAGCAAAGACAGTAGCTGTCCATTGGCAGGTCTTTATATGTAAAACCTAACCCAATCCCAAAATAAAAAAAAATTAATAAAACCCAACACCGAATGCCCTACTTCTCCATGCATTACTTTCTCAACTTCTAGTGAGAAAAAGAAAATACAAACAAATCGTTCAAAATGGGGAAATGAACGGCAGATCGATAAGAAAAAGCCAGTACGAGGTACTGTGCCATAAAAGATGCACAGGCACTTACCGGAGCGACTCCAGCTGCAGCTGATGCCGCTCCGTCGGTGTAAGGACACCACTTCCAGGCAGCAGCTCACAGAGGAGCTCCTGGCACACACCCACACGGGCTGGCTGTGCCCAGACTCAGCCCCAAGAACAGCCCAGGGCGCTGCCGCTCCCGGCGCTCGGGGACGCCGAGGCACCAGCCGGAGCCCGCTGCCGCCTCCCGGCCGGGTCCGTGACCGAAGGGCGATTCCCCGAGGGGTGACCCGCATCCCCCGGGAAAGGGGCGGGATGAAGCCTGAAGGGGAGGCGCGGGCGGAGCGGGGCAGCCCGGCTCCCGGTACCTCCCTCGCTCTTTCCTTTCTCCCGCGGGGTGGAAGCTCGGCGCGCTGCTCTCCGCCGCCAGCAGCAGCAGGCAAGGGCGCAGAGCCGGGTGGGGGCGGCTCCCGGCGGGCTCCTGGCTCGGGAAGCGGCGGGAGCCGTGCCGGGACGCCTTCCTCCCAAAGAGGGAAGGGCGCCCTCCTACTGTGACCGGCCGCCCAGAGCTTGCCGCTACTGGGAAACTCCATCCCAGGAAGACAAAATCCGTCCTGTATTCCATGGCATTTACCATTCTGTACTATTTAATTTTTGCCTTCTGGCCGGTTCATATATTGAAAGCCTGCTGGTACCCTTTCAGTACCCCAAAAGGGGTCCTTGAAATACCCTCTTCTGAGATTTTCTTTGTATTCGTGGAGCTGGCATGCCACTTTATCCACCAATGCTGCTTCTTCATCTTTCCATGTCTGGGACCCAGAGAACATGGGAGAATGATAGGATATAGTGGGAGAATGCGAAGGGATGGAGGCACATGAAGAAAATGGTGGGGTGGTGGAACATGGAGGATATAGTGAGATGTAGAGGAGATGGAGGGCCAGAGGGGTGGTAGAATGGGGAGATGGTGAGTCATGAAGATGCTGGGATGTGGAGGGAATGGAGATAGTGGGACATAGAGATTGTGGGATGTGTAGGGACCTGGAGGAAATGGAGTGGTAGAGAACTCATAGGGATGGTGAGATATGGTGGGATAATAGCCCTTGGAGGAGATGGAGGGACAGTGAGAAATGGAGGGTAACAAGTTGGAGGAGACAGGGCTGTTGGGCCAAGGGGTGGTGGAATGATCCATGGAGAGGCAGACAGATGAAAGCATTTGGGGCAGAAGGACAGTGGGACATGAAGGACAGGGGAAATGAAACATGGTGGGTAGTGGGACAGAGCAGTTAGTCTAGGGGAAGCAGCCAGCAGCTAGGGGAACACTGAGGCCAGAAGCAGCACAAGCTGCAAGCTCAGGAACCAGGAGGTCCCTGAAGGGCTCACCCAAGCTCTGTGCTACATGTGGAGGTACAAGATGCTGCTCCCCATCTCCTGAGGACCTTCCCTCCTTGGTTCTCTATGTGGCCTCAGGCACATCTCTTCCCACCCACAGATACGGATTGGTGTGAGTCAGGTTGAGATAACCTGTGAGGCAGTTTGAGGTCCAGGTACACGTCATGGGTGAAATCATATTGCACTGTGGGGTGGGCTGCAACATCCTGTGGGGTGCACCAGGTCCACACGGGTTGGCAATCCACAAAAATTTTAGGGTTGGAAGGAACCTCAGAAGATCATCCAGTCCAAACCCCCCTGCCAAGGCAGGGTCACCTAGAGAATTTACACAGGAACGTGCCCAGTTGGGTTTTGAATGTCTGCAGACAGGGAGACTCCACAATTTCCCTGGGCTGCCTGTTCCTGAGCTCTGCCACCCTAAATGTAAAGAAGTTCTTCCTCATGTTGAGGTGGAACTTCTTGTGTTTTAGTTTATGGCCATTGCTTTTTGTCCTGTCTCTGGGCGCCACTGAAAAGTCTGGCACTATCCTCTGGACACCCACCTTTGAGATGCATTGATGAGATCCTCTCTGAATTTTCTCTAGACTTAGGCACAGCTCCCTCAGTCTCTTTCCCTGGAGAGATGCTCCAGATCTCAGATCATCTTCCTGGCCTCCTGGACTCTCTCCAGTGACTCCTTGTCTTTCTTGTGCTGAGTAGCCCAGAACTGGAACCACAGCAGATGTGGCCTCACTGTGACCGAATAGAGGGGCAGCATCATCTCCTTCGACCCGCTGGTCACACACTTCCCGATGCACTCAGGACACTATTGGCCCTCCTGGCCCTAAGGACACACTGCCAGCTCATAGTTGACTTGTTATCCACCAAGAATTCTAGGTCCTTCTCCACAGAGGTGCTCTCTCATCTGATTCAGCAGTGGCTTCATATTTTCCCTAATCTCCCTTTTGCTGCTGATATACCTGTAGAAGCCCTTCTTGTTGTACTTGTTATCCCTTGCTAGATTCAGTTCCAAGGTGACTTTGGCCTTCCTCACTGCATCCCTGAATGCTCTGACAATGCTTCCGTGTGGCCTGTCCCTTTTTCCACATCCCATAAATTTCTTCTTCATAAATTTCAGATTTACTAGAAACTTATATGGGCTCCATCCATATTACAGGTACCATACAATGGGATAACCCCACCCTCCCCACACAAATTCAACCCCACACAAATGGCTGCTGCTCAATGGTTTTTATTGGATTTCCAAGCTTGAGGGGCTAGGGGGAGTTGGGCACTTGGAAGTCTAAATGGGACAGCTGCGAGTTCAGGTAGGATACTTAGGGATCCAGATCTTCACTCTTCATTGAGTCCCTTCTGATAGAGGAAAAAAAGGGGCTGTTGTGGGGCAGCCATGGGGTGGCCTATGAGGCACCTGTGGGCAGGGGAGAGTCCCACCTTGGCTCCAATATCGCGGCTCTTGGCCCGCAGCTTGTTGACCTGGGACTCGGCGATGTCGGCACGCTCCTCTGCCTCATCCAGCTCGTGCTGTGCCTTGCGGAACTTGGCCAGGTTGGTGTTGGCCTGTTCCTCCTGAAGGGGGCAGAGACACCAGTGAGGCTCCCACACAGCTCTGTCTGGCCTCCTGCCACCCCATCTGCTCTCCATACACCTGACTATTTTATTGCTCCATCAGGCCTTCAATAGAAACCCCTGTTTCTTCAGACATCCCATTTTCAAACCACCCAACCATCTACTCAATGATCCATCCATCCAATCTTCCACCCACATAAACTAACTTCCTTCCTTCCTTCCTTCCTTCCTTCCTTCCTTCCTTCCTTCCTTCCCCATCATCTCTCAATCCCACAACTAACACACCCTCCTCATTCCCTGACAACCCACCACCCCTTGACTACCTCATCTCATGGTTGCCTGCTACTCTCTACATCCTCTCCCACATCCTAAACCCACACTGTCCTCTCCTGGGGGTGGTCCCATGGCTGCCTCAGCCAATGCTCACCGCCTCCTCTGCCTGTCGCTTGTAGGCCTTGACCTTCAGCTGGAGCTTGTCCACAAGGTCCTGGAGCCGGACCATATTTTTACGGTCCTCCTCCGTCTGTAGGGTGAGACACGTATGGATCATGACCTGACCCTACCTGCTCTTGGAATCACCACCCAAGCTATGACAGTCAGGAGACAGTTAATGAAGTTCTTGGGGAGTGGAGTTTCTTGAGATCTGTGGGTGGCTTCAGCTCTGGGAGCAGGAGGAAGATGTCTTATTGCCCTTGATGAGATCCCACCTGAGGTTATGGATCATGCCCCCATAAGATTCCATGGATACTGGGACACTGAGAGGTGGCCTGGGTAGCTCATGGCCCAGACCATGTTCTGGGTACTCACGTACATACAGTGGGTGGTCCCTTATCAAATCTAGACAGCCTGTGTCTCTCTGGCCAGCAGGTTGGCCATGTTCGAGGTCATGTACAGCATGAAATATGAGGCCCTGAGGCCAAGGGGCAGGAATTGACCTGGGCCAGCCCAGGAGCCCCACCTGGTAGCTCAGCTCCTTGACACGACGCTCGGACTTGCGGAGACCCTTAATGCTCTCAGCATTGCGCTTCTGCTCAGCCTCCAGCTCATTCTCCAGCTCCCTCACTCGAGCCTCCAGCTTCTGCAGCTGCTTCTTGCCCCCTTTGAGGGCCAGCTGCTCGGCCTCATCCAGCCTCATCTGCAGGTCCTTGATGGTCTGCTCCATGTTCTTCTTCATCCGCTCCAGATGGGCGCTGGTGTCCTGCTCCTTCTTCAGCTCCTCGGCCATCATGGCCGCCTGCCCAAGGAGAGAAGCAAGCAGAGAAGGAGGACCAAAGCATGCTCTACTTCACCCTCCAGTGGAAGGTGTCCTAGATGTAGGTCCCACTATGGCACTCACATCAGTGATGGCTTTCTTGGCCTTCTCCTCAGCATTCCTGCACTCCTGGATGGCCTCTTCCACCTCTGTCTGCAGCTGGGAGATGTCGGCCTCCATCTTCTTCTTCTGGTTGATGAGGCTGGTATTCTGGAATTAGAGGAGAGGATCTCATGAGGTGTCTCTTGAACTGCTGACCCATCCTTCTTCAACCCCCCAGTACTTAATGACGCCCAACTCCCTGCCAACTCTGCAGGCTTAAAGGATCTGGAGATCTTGGTAACTCAACCCGTTAGAAGCCCATACCCATGGATGGAGATGACCTCTGTCCTTGAAGGTATGTGATGTCTCACCTGTGAGTGGAGAAGCTGGACCCTCTCGCTGGCCTCAATCAGCTCCTGTTCGGCCAGCTTGCGAGCCCTCTCAGTCTGTTCCACCACTGCCTGCATCTCCTCCAGCTCGGATTGGAGAAGGTTGTTTCTCCTTTCCACGATGGCAATATTCTCCTTCAGGTCTTCATTGGCTCTTACCACATCATCCAGCTGCAGCTGGGTGTCCTGTTGGGATAAATATAATGGAGATCAGCCAGCAGCTCAGGGACCTAAGAAGACCTCCTTATAGGTGGGTAATCCCACCTTGAGGTGAGCCTGGGCTCCTTTCAGGTGGGACTGAGCTTCAGCAGCCACGCTTGTTCTCCCTTTTGAAGGTCTCCAGGTGCTCAAGCGACTCCTCATATGCATTCTTCAGCTTGAAGAGCTCAGTGCTGAGGGACCTGGCCTCTTTCTGTGATGCCTCCAGCTCCATCTGTGACTCTTCAAACTTCTGCTTCCACTCAGATAAGATCTGGAGCAAAGCAAGAGGTCACTCTCTGTCCCCATGTCTCCCATCTGCTCCTGTCTCACCACTGTGTCCTCTTACCTTATCAAAGTTTCTCTGCTTCTTGTCCAACGCAGCAGCTGCTGCATTTGATCGCTCCACATCTGCCATCAGGTCCTCAATCTCATTTTGCAGCCGGTGTTTGGTCTTCTCCAGGGAGGAACACTTGGCATTGACCGCCTCCACTGCCTCCTCAGCCTCCTGCAGCCGCTGGGCCAGCTTCTTCCTGCCGTGGCAGAAAACCTGGCTGTGGTGACCCATGGATCAAGTCGGCCAACTAAAACCTTATTCTTCCTATTCATTTGCTGAGGCTCTGGATTTTTACCATCTCCAGACCCGTATACCTTCTCCAGATTCTTCTACAGTGGAAGGGTGTGCACTCTTCCCTGCCTCATAGAGGCTTCCTTTCATGGGGAGAGGACTCACTTGGCTTCCTCCAGTTCCTCAGTGCGCTGGATGGCATCTGTCTCATACTTGGTCCTCCACTGTGCCACCTCAGAGTTGGCCTTGGAGAGTGAGCGCTGGAGCTCAGCCTTGGCCTCTGTCTCCTCCTCATACTGCTCCCTCAGAAGGTCACAGTCATGCCGGGCTGACTGGAGGGCATGGGCCAGTGCATTCTTTGCCTGGAAGGCAGAGGTAAGGAGTAGTAGCAATAGACCTATATGGAGGTCAAACTCAGAAATACTAGTAAGCACTGATATTTCTCAGCCAAACCTTCTCTAGATCATTCCAACCAAATTCAGCACATCTAGACCCAGAGCCATCTAAACATGGGTACCTCTAGTCTGGCCCAGTTTGACTTCCCCCTCATGCAGTGCCACCCAGCCACCTATAGACCAACCCAGCTGCTTCACAACTGACCTGCTCAGCCCGACCTCTCAGCTGTTAGACCAATGCAACCCTACTCAACCACTCTAAGATGCAACCACCCCACTGAACTGGCCTGAACTTGAATTCCATTTGGTGCTACCACCATGAGGGTGAAGGACACCTTGTCTTGTGGCCCGCCTGGAGACCCTATGAGCCATCCCACAAACCTCACCTTCATCTCCTCCTCCAGCTGTCTCTTCAAGTCCTCCATCTGCTGGGTGTATGACTGCTTGCCCCTAGTTAATTGAGAGACAAGGGCCTCCTTTTCCTCCAGCTGGCGGGACAGCTCTCCTGCAGAGGTAGGGCAGGTTTTGAAGGTGTGGCAGGGATTGAAGATGTGGGGCAGGGGCTGAGGATGTGGAGTAAGGGGTATGGTGGGTCAGGGTTTGCACCATTCTCAGTCTGGAGCTTGGCCCGTTGGGTGCTGGTGTCATTGAGGACTCGTTGTGTCTCTTCCAGCTTGGCCCGGTGTTCAGCTGCCTGGTCCTCCATGGTGCGAGAGATCTTCTCCATGCCCACCTTGAAGGAGGAAAGTATGGAGGGAAGGAATGAAGAAGGAGAATGATGCCCATGGTGGAGATAAGATGTCCACCTTGGTCTTCTTCTACCTTGGCTTTTATGAGTTGCTCCATGTTGGAGCTGAGGTCATCCAGCTCCAGCTTGAGGTCGCTCTTCTCCTTCTCCAGCTTCTGCTTGACGCGCTGTAAGTTGTCAATCTGCTCACTGAGCTCAGCCACACTGTCGGCATGCTTCTTGCGCAGCGCAGCAGCCGTGGCCTCGTGCTGCAGCGTGGCCTCCTCCAGGTCCCGCCGCATCTTCTGGAACTCTGCCTCACGCTTCTTGTTGAGCTCGATCTGCACTGATGTGGCACCACCCGCCTCCTCCAGCCGCTCACTGATCTCCTCCAGCTCCCGTGAAAGGTCTGAGCGCAGCTTCTCCACCTTGGCTCTGCCTGTCCGCTCTGCTTCCAACTCCTCCTCCAGCTCCTCAATCCGTGCCTGTGGTCCAGGGACGGAGCTGCTGTCAGCAAACTTGGCTCTACCCAACTCCTGCACTCAACTCAACCGATTGAGCTGGAGACTTTTCAACCCAACTCACCCCAATAGCTGAAAACACTTCAGCTCATGCCAGACATCTGAACATTTGTCAGCCAACTGAAAACTCCTAAACTCAGCCTAACCAGATGGAGACTTTTCACCTCAACCCAACCAACTGGAGGCTCTTAGTCTCGTCCAAATAAGCAGAGAATAGATTCCTCACCTGCAGCTCTTTCAGCTTCTTCTGGAGCTGCAGAGCCAGAGCCTGCTCATCCTCAACCTTGCTGTTCTGCTGGTTGATCTCAAATTCTTTTCTGCAAGTGAAAGCAGTTAGCAGTGAGGTCCCTGCCCTTGCCCCCAGTTTAGACCAGGGAAAGAGGTCCGTCTTTACTTCTTGAGCTTCTCCTCCAGCTGCTGCTTGTCGTTCTCCAGGTCCATGATGTTCTCCTGGGTCAGCTTTAAGTCACCTTCCAGCTTCCTTTTGGCCCGTTCCAGGTCCATCCGGACTTTCTTTTCCTGTTCCAGGGAGCCTTCAAGCTGTGTGGAAACGTGAAACCTCAGTTTTCCATCATACCTGCCCTAGAAAGCTCCTTAGCACTACTCATGGTAGGACCAGACCACACTCACGTCATCCACTTGCTGTTCCATCTTGAGTTTGGCCTTTGTCAGGGTGTTGACCTTGTCTTCCTCTGCCTGCAGGTCATCCAGCGTCTGCTGGTGAGATTCTTGCAGGGCCTTCTTTTCCTTCGTTAACTTTGCAATGGTTTCATCCAACCCAGCCATCTCCTCTGTGAGGTTCTTGACCTGAAAGAGGAGAAACACTAGGCCTCCAGCTTAGTACCAGAGGTAGGGCAAAGCTGAGTGATGCTGCTGTTGTCCTTGGCCAGTGAGGCCACTGCAGTGGTAGAGAACCCAAAGGATGTTCATGTAGCCCAGATCAACTAGCCTTGGATCTCCTCCAGGTTGTGTTGACACAAATCCCCACAATTTAAGGTCAAGGCCTCTTTCCACCCTCACCTTGTTCTCAGTGGCATGTTTCTCCTTCTCCACCTTGGCCAGAGTCAGCTCTAGATCATCAATATCCTTTTTCAGCTCCGAACACTCATCCTCCAGCTTCCTCTTCCTAGCTGTCAGCTCTGCGTTCATCTCTTCCTCATCCTCCAGTCGCTCTGTCAGCTCCTTCACCTTGGCCTCCAGCTGGATCTTGTTCTTGATCAGCTGGTCACAGCGCTCCTCAGCATCATTGAGGTTGTCCTGCTCCTGTATTGGAGTGGTAGATGAAGTAGGGTGGCCCTGGAGGGCTGCTGGTCACCCCCCTGACATAGTTTTTTGGGGCAGTCTCACTTACGGCCTGGACTTGGAGCTGAAGGTCATTCTTCTCCTGCAGCATGGAGACCATCTTCTCCTCCAGCTCCTTGCGCCGGGTCTCCGACTTCTCCAGGGCCTCCTTCAGCCGCCCAAACTCTTCCTTCATGTTCTAAAGCAGAGACCAGGAGATCAGTAGCCACACCCAATCCCCTTCATCCATCAACCCCACCCTGCCCATTTTGGATCCCCAGCAGCCCATCTCATCACCTCCTCCCACCTGCATCTCCTTCTCTGTCTCAGCACTCTTCAACAAGGGTTTGATCTTGAAGTAGAGCTTCATCCAAGGCCAATTCTTCACCCCCATGAAGGCCCTGATGTTCCACTGGATCACCAGCAGTGAGTCTCTAGAATGGTGACACAGATGCCACTACACCACAAATCTGGTGACCCACCAGACGTCCTTTCTCAAGGAGAAACACCCTTCCCCTCTCACCGGCGCTCCAGGATCTTCTTGAACTCGATGCGCATGAGCTGCCCTCGGGCCTGAGCCTGGATGCGGGTGATAATGCGGGAGAGGCGCTCGTCCCGCATCTCCTCCAGAAGTCCCAACAGCCCAGCCTTGAAGAAGACCTGATGGAGGAAGGAAGTGAGTGAGAGAGTGAATCGGTTGGGAAGGGTTTGTGGACAGATAGATGGATTGCTGGGGAAATTAAGTGATGGATGGTGGGGTGGGGTGGGGTGGATAGGCAGATGGACACATCAGTGGTGAGACCATGGGGTCCACATGACCCCAGGTATGGTAGGACCATGGAGACACCATGTGCCCTTACCTTGGTGTGTCCAAATTTGTACTGGTTGTGGTCAATGTCAATGGATCCCAGGAGCTTTTCAGCACCCTTGCGACTGTCAATGAACTGCCCCTCAGGGATGGCAGCAGGGTTCAGGATGCGGTACCTGGTGACCAGAGAGGACATGAAAACCCTGAGGTCAGCCCTACTCAGGTTGTCCACCCCATCCCCACATTTTCTCCTCTGTGCCTACCGCTGTCGGAAGTCCCCATAGAGGATGCGATTGGGGAAGCCCTTACGGCAGATGCGGATGCCCTCTAGCACCCCGTTGCAGCGCAGCTGATGCATTACCAGGGGATTGTCCATCACACCTGGCAGTGGGTCAGAGGGGTGGTGGTGTCAGCCATAAGCCACACCTACCACCATTTTCCCTGCCCTCAGCCCTACCCTTTGCTCACCTGGCTCCTTCCGCTCATTGGGTATAATACAGCGGACAAAGTGAGGGTGGGTTGTCTTGAGGTTAGCCATCAGTTTGTTGAGGTTCTCCTGTTGAGGGACAGAGGAGAGAACAAGCTGACTAATGTGAGAGCAAGAGAGGGTCTGTGGGACTGAAGGGGTGATCCACCACCCAGGAGATATCCTCCCATTGCCCCAAAGGGGGTCCACTATGTAGATCCCTCACCCGATGCAGTGCTGAGACGGTCTGAAAGGAGGAACCTTTCTTCTTGGCTCCTTTCCCTTTCCCTCCATCACCACCTGGAGAGAACAGGCATAGGGTAACACAGGAAAGGTGACTAGTGGACAGCAGACTTCTCCATCAACTCATTGCTCCATCACCCCACCATCCATTCACCCACCAGCATCTGCTCCAGCATAGTTGGAGAAGAGGTTGGCCAAGAGCTTCAAGGCAGATTTCTGGTAGAGCCCCACCACTGTCTCATTGAGAGGGTCCTTGTTCTTCTCCAGCCCCCCGATGATGTTGTAGTCCACTGTGCCAGCATAGTGGACAAGAGAGAAATGGGCCTCTGGCTTCCCCTTGACATTGCGTGGCTTCCCAAAGTTGGCCGACTTGCCCAGGTGATTATCAAAGAGCTTGGCCTTGAAGGTCATGTCTGAGGCTTTGGGAAACATGCACTCCTCCTCCAGGATGGACATGATCCCCATGGGCTAGGAAGAAAAATGGTGGTGGAGGATATTAAGCACAACCTAGTTAACCAACTCTGGGGCCCCTGGCAGGCTCCAACTCAAAGGGCCCTTCCCCCAAAGTCCCTTCAGCCCCCATGAGGCCCTGAGGGAGGTGGTACCTTCTCAATGAGGTCAATGCAGGCCTGGAGGTCCATGCCAAAGTCAATGAACTCCCACTCAATGCCCTCCTTCTTGTATTCCTCCTGCTCCAGCACGAACATGTGGTGGTTGAAAAACTGCTGCAACTTCTCGTTGGTGAAGTTGATGCAGAGCTGCTCAAAGCTGTTGAACTGGGGAAGGAGAGAGGAGATGAGATTAACTGGATTAACTCAACACCCAACAGGGTCAACAGAATGCCTGATGAGATCTGTAGGTGAACCTGAGCTGGGTCAACAAAATGCCCAGTAGTATCAATGAAGTCAATGCAACTCCCAAGAGGATCAACACAAACCTCAAGAGGACAAATGCCCTGCCACCCCCTCAGTCCTCACATCAAAGATCTCAAATCCAGCGATGTCTAGCACACCGATGAAGTACTGCCTTGGCTGCTTGGTGTCCAGGTGGAGATGAAGAGGCGACTGGATGGAGGGAGAAAGGGAGCTATGTGTGGATGAATGGAGCTCCTGGGTGGATGGATGAAGTTTGTGGGTGGATGGAGGAGTCCATACATGGATGAGTCCTGGGATGGATGAATAAATCCATGGATAGATAAGTCTATGGATGGATAATGGACTACAAGGCAGCCTCTCACTGGGCTCTCAACCCACTCACAGGTCTCAATGTCAGCTGATGCCAACTTCCCGGTGGCCCCAAAATGGATCCGGATGAACTTCCCCTGGGAAAGCAGTGGCAGGAGGTGGAGGTGGCTGCCTTCATGCAGAAGATCCCAGACCATAGACGCTGTCCCGCAAACTGCCCCACAGACCCTTCCTCATACAACCCACCCCCATCACTCACAAATCGGGAGGAGTTGTCATTGCGGAGGGTCTTGGCATTGCCGAAGGCCTCCAAGGCAGGGTTGGCCTGGATGATCTGGTCCTCCAGGGTGCCCTGGACGGGGTGGGACAATGCTGGGTGTGGATACCACTGGGGTACACTCTCTGCCAAGGGTACATGGACTGAGGAACTCACCTTGCTGCTATTGGTCACCTCCTTCTTGCGGTCGCCAATGGCAGCAATGCTGGCAAAGTATTGGATGACCCTCTTAGTGTTGACTGTCTTCCCCGCCCCGGATTCTCCGCTGGGGGAGCAACAGTGAGATATTGGATAACATCCTGGTGGGTACTTCATCCCACCCCACTGCTATGGGGTGGGGCTGGATAAAGCAGGGCCTTACGTGATGAGGATGGACTGGTTCTCTCGGTCTGCCAAGAAAAAAGAGGAGTCAGGTGGGATGAAGTTTGGAAACATCTTGGTCTTGGGGTTGAGGCTGAAGTTCTCCATCCTCTCAGGTGAGAACCACTTCTGAGTCAGGAACCATTTTTTGGAATGGGGTCTTCTAGTTTGAGGTCCTCACAGGACATTCTTACCTGTCAACATGTTCTGGTAGGCATTGTCAGAGATGGAGAAGATGTGGGGTGGAGCTTCACTCCGCTTCTTTCCCCGGTAGGCAGCCACCACCTCAGCATTGTAGACAGGCAACCACTTGTAGGGGTTGACAGTCACACAGAAGAGCCCCGAGTAGGTCTGAAGAAAAGGGCAGGCAGGTCAGAGCCAGGAGGTGCCACCCCACCAAGTGGGGACATGCTAGGTCTAGGTGGCCTAAGGGATGTGGTGACGGGATGTCCTCATCTTGGTTGTCTGAAAAGGGGCTGTAGAAGGGACATCTTGGGTCTGGGTGGCCCACAACATGCAGAGATTTACATCTCTTGTGTCCATGGCCCAAGGGGCCTGGGGATGGAACACATTATGTCCTATCAAGGGACCTCTTGAAGTGACATCTTGGATCTGGGTTGCTGAAGGGGTCAGGGGATACAACATCTCAGGTCTTGGTGGCTGAGGCAGTCTAGAAATGGGATGTCTTGGGTCTGGGCAGCCCAAGGGAGCTGGAGAAAGGGCCACCAGGTTCTAGGTGTCCCAAAGTCCATGAAAAAGCCACAACAGGTTTTAGGTGGCCCATAGGTTCTCTGGAAGCCCCATCTGGTACTAGGTATCCCAAAAGCTTTAGGGAAGGGTTACTACTTTCCATCCACCCCATAGGCTGTGGGGAAGGCCTCGCCTACTTCCCAGGTGCTCCAGGGGCTTGTGGGAAGGCTCACATAGATCAACCAAGAGGCATAGCGCTCCTTGAGGTTGTAGAGGACAGCAGGCTCATGGAGGAAGGTCAGCATTGCCATGTCCTCGATCTTGTCAAATTTGGGGGGGTTCTGCTGGTGAATGTCAGCTTCCTTCACCGTCACCGTCTGGGAGGAATGGGGAGACATGGGGGTGGGGGTTGGGAGATGTCCATGGCTTGGGGGATAGAGGGTGCTCCATTGGTAGGATTTCTTCCATGGGTTGAGAGGGGTCTCCTGTGGTTTGGGGGGTACCCCCCATCTGTTGTGAGACTTCCATGGGTCAGGGCCCCCACCACTATCAGCCTGGTTTCCCCTTCCTCAATTTGGTCTCCCCCAAACCTTCAACCCCCCTCCTTCCTTTAATCCCTCCCCCATTACTTTCGTCCCATTAATCCCTCCCTCCTTAACTCTTCACGCCCCTACTTCCCACCAACCCCTTATCCCCCATGATGCCCAATTCCCTCTTATCTCCCCCACCAGTCACCCCCTATGCCCCCTCCTGCCATCAACCCTTCCCATCCTTAGCCCCCTCCTCCATTATCCCCTCACCCCCATTAATCTTTTGCCCCATATGGCCCCTTGCCCCCCTCCCCTCACCCCCCCATCCCACAGTTGCCCACCTCTCCCAGTTCAGTCTGGACGGTGGCCTCCCCTCCTTGCCGCCCCGTCACCCGACCCCGAACGAATTCCTCCCGGGGGTGGGGGACGAAGCACTCGCTACGGGGGTCGAAGGGTCTGGTCTGCGCTGCCAGCCGCTCCCGCTCCCCTGGCCGCAGGAACGGGGCTGCCGCCCCCAGCGCTGCCAGCACCGCGTCCGCCATCCTGCCCCACACAGACAGGGACCCTGCATCACCTGGGGGGCTGTGAGGCTGTGGCCACAGGGTCTCACCCCTTGTTCCGTGGCCCCACACAACCCCACTGGCCGGAGCCCGTTGCCGTGCATGGGCCCCTTTAGCCATGCCCAGACCCCTATGGCTGCGGCAGATACCAGAGCCAGACCCAGAGCTTTGCAGCTGTGCACAGCCCCATGCATGGATCCCTACAGATGTGCAGGGAGCCCTATAGCCCTCTGTACACCCACATAGTCATGCACTGCCCCATGCACGGACTCCTGTAGTGATTCAGGGACTCCCTGCAGGGATCCCTATAACCATTAAAGGATCCCTAATAGCGATGTACAGGACTTCATGGTTGTGTATGACCCCATGCACAGGATCCTACAGCCATTCATGACCCCATGTATTGAGCCCTCTACAGTGCACAGACCCCCTATAGCTGTAGGCAGACCCCTATAGTCATGCAGGGACCCCAGTCCCATGCACAGCCCTGTGTACAGACTCCTGTACTGATGCAGGCACCTCCACAACCAGGGACCACCAATCCCTGGAATGGTGCATGGCCCCCTGCAACACAAAGACTCCTGCAGCCACACACAGACCCCCATAATGATTCAGGCATCCCTACAGTGATGCACAGAGACCCATAGAACTGCAGGGACTCCTATAACAATGCAGGGAACATCAGAGTCCTGCACAGCCCCACCTGCAGACCCCCACGGCAAAGTATGGATCCCCTGTAGTGATGTGCAGACCCTACAGCAACACACACACCCTATAGCAGCATAGCAGCACCACTCCCCCGCCAAAGCACCCATCCCCATGCTGCCCCACAGCATCACCCTCACCTGGAGTCTGTGGATCTAGCAGGTAAGATGAAGGAAGCTGGAAGAACATGCAGAGGGTGAGTAGGGCTACACCCTACAGATCCTCTTTGCCCCATAGACCCTTTTATGCCCTATAGATCACTTTCCCACATAGACCCCAAGTACACCATAGCCCTGCTTGTGCTACATAGGCCCCCTGGATGCCCCACAGACCATCAATGTCCCCTAGACTGCTGTACCCCATAGA